ATTGTCTTGTTAGCAGCAAGACTAAGGAAGTGGGCCTGGTTAGAGCTGCTTAGAGGTCCTCAACAGGCCCAGGCTAACAGCACAATGAGTGAGTTGGTAACACGTGAGAGACAGGGTTCAAAATACTGGTTTGAGAAGTATAACACCCATGTGTTTTTTTCTTTGGTTTCAAATTCTGTCATTCAACAAAGCCAGGATGCTATGGACTAGGGCAAAGTTCCGCCAAAGTCCTGGATGGCTATGCTCATGGACTGCTGGGAGGGCCAAAGGGGTGTCCACTGCCCCTCACATAGACAGGGAAGGGTCAGGTTTTCACAAAACTGCATCTCCCAGTTAGCAAAGTGGAATGTTCCCATAGGGAACAGATAGCAAGGCTGGATCCTGTGCGATCCTAACACAAAACACAACAGCTTATCACATCTCAAGCTGTACTGACGAAAGGCCGGAGTAGCTGAGTGGACATAGCGTTGTCTTTCGATGAGGGCAAACCTGGTTTTAACCCCAGCTTTATGAGTACAGTGACTGTCCATCGAGGAGCAATATAGAATGATAGGTCAGAGCACTGGACTCCAGATCACAGCCTTGCACCTTAGTAGCTATGTACCTCAGACAAAACAGTTTCAGTTAGAAGCAGACAGGCCGGGGTGGGAGGCCCAGTCAGCACACGAGCGGAGACAGGTGCCTTTCCTACTCTGCCCAACACTCTGTAGCAGTGCTCAGCGTTGCTGATGGCTGGCATGAGTTTGCTGCCCATGATGGCTTGTGGGAGGTGCGAGGGACCAGACTTTGCCCCAGTCTGCCTTGCAGGCTTACCTGCCTTCTCAGTTGAGTGGCTGCTCTCCAGTGAAGCATAAGAAAGTAGGGGCCAGGTCCACATAGGGGCAGGGAGCACCAGCACCACGTGCCAGTGAGGTTTCGGTTTAAATACTAGGCAAGAGCTGTGCAAAACTACACAGTCCTGCTCAAGATGTGGCCCCGCCCATCACTGACCATCCTCTTTGGACTCTAGTCTGTTCCAAGTAAGGTAGAGGTCCAGGGTAAGTCTACCCCTCACTCATCCCTGCCTGGACTCCACCCCTGCAGGCTCTGCTCTGTTCTGTCCTTCCTGCACTTAACCTTCAGAGTCTTTGTTTCTACCTGGCTCCCGTGTTTGTGTTGCCAAGTCTTGTTCAAGCTTTGTGAACCTGCCTCCAAACCTGCCTCCTTCTCGCTCCCTTTTGTGTTCCTAGTGAAGACGCAATGTGAGTGGAGGAGAGGGTCTTCAGAGCCCTGCATTCCAGCCTTGGCCTTGCTGGGCCTCTTTGGAGTCTCTTCTAGGTACCTCTGTGTCCTTGTCTGTAACATGAACTTGATAAAGCCAGTGTTCTGGGCTCCAACAGTTCTTACAGGGCACCAATTAAGTGACAAGAAAGGGGGCTGGGGAGATGACTCATGGGAAAAGCTCTTTCTGCTCAAGAGTGAGTTCAGATCCCCAGCACCCATTTAAAACGCTGGGTGTGCGTCCCAGCCTGCTTGGAATCTAGAGACAGGCAATCCCCAGAGTGAGCTGGCCAGCCAGATTAACCAGTATTGGTACATGCTGGGTTCACTTGAGAGACCCTGCATCAGTGACTAAGGCAGAGATTCCCAACATCAACCTCAAGCCTGTACACACTACACGCACATACATGCATGCGTGCATACATACATGCACACTACACACACATTTCAAAAAATTCTTATGCGTATGAGTGTTATGCTTGTATGTATGTAAGTGCATCTATGTGATCCAGTGCCCACAGAGGATAGAAAAGAATGTCGAATCCCCTGGAACTGGCATTGTTAGCCACCATGTGGGTGCTGGGATTTGAACCAGGGTCTTCTGCAAGAACCAGTTAGTGTTCTTAACCACTGAGCCATCTCTCCAAACTCCCTCCCCTTATTTTTTAAAAAGTTAGAAAAAAAGAATAGTGAAAACCAGAGAAAGGAGATTTATTCAACCTATTACATTGGAAAGAGAAGCAAGTAGAACAGCCTTGTGAACAAGTCCATCTTTGAGCACTGACATGAAGTTTATGTTTAAATGCTAGGCAGAGGTATGCATAGCTAAGGAGTCTTGGTCAAGGTTTGGTTCTGCCCATCATTATCCATGGTTGTCAAGGCACCAGTCTGTCCCTCAGGGTGGTTTCACAAGTTGTCAGAACTGTGTGAAATTCTTCTCTAGGAGACCACCCTCCCTCCCCGAAACTGGCACCAGGCCCCAGCCTTTCTCTTCCCCCAGCATAGACTCCTGGGAAATCTAATTCCTTGGAATCTATTGTCTCAACAGTCTGATAGCTAAAGGGAGGGACACAGTGTCTCTTTAGAGTATGTCCATTCTTGCTAGGACAGTTATACCACCATCCCCTTAGTCTGGGTCCTTTTGACAAATGATCAGGTTCCTACCCCCAGATTTCTTTCTGCTCAGAGACAAATCAGCTTTTCCTTTCTCAGCTCTCACTTCATTTTCTTATCGTCCTGCCTTAAGGCTTAGGCTCTTCTTAGGCTCTGATGATAACCACAGGAATAAATAACAACCCAAAGATGTCAGTTAAGGGCTGGGAAGAAAGAGAAAGGAATCTGAGGATGCCACTAAGTTGGTAGAAGTGCCTACAGGGGTTCAACCCCAGTACCTCATAAACGGGCTATGGTGGTGCATGCCTGTAATCTCAGTACTTGGCCAGTCAAGAGAAGAGAATCAGCAATTCAGGATTATTCTTGACTATATAGTGAGTTTGAAGTCAGCCTGGGCTATATGAACAGATCCTATCTTTAAAAAAAGCATGATATCGCTAAACGAGATTCCTGCAAGTTCCCCAGGATAGCCCTTAGAGGTGCCTGGCCCCCATGCTGCTCCTGAAGGTACCACAGCTCCTGTTCAAGCACTTGGGGGTGAAGCTGCAGTCAGGATTCAAGGACAATCTATGGAACCTGTTGACCTACTTTTCCTTGGACAGTCCCTTGCCTTAGCAGAGCTGTTCTGACTCACGGGTCTGCATGTTTTCTCAACCAGGAGACGCCCGGAGGTCCTGACGGTGACCCCATGGAATGCGCCAGTTGTGTGGGAAGGCACTTACAACAAAGCTCTCCTAGAAAAGTATTATACCAGACAGGGAATCACCGTGGGGCTGACAGTTTTTGCTGTCGGAAGGTAAGCATTGCTGACAAAATTGTCCTTGACTTTTTCTTGTTCTACTGTTTTTGGTGTTTGTGAGGGGATCCACGGCTCCGTGGAGGCTATGATTCATCTAAATTGCTAGATGGAGTCTCTTTCTCATCTCCATTCTGATGAGGCTCCAAAAGGCTGAGAACAAAGCAACAGTAGCTAAGTGTCCTCATTCCCACCACAGTGGGAGAGTGTCAATGGACATCATCTGGGGAACCCAGAGTCAGCAACATACCTGCAACCCTCTCCTCCCTGACCTCCAAAGCTTTCCTTGGAATTTCCAAATGCCAGCTGCTGGCCCGCCAGAATGTGGGTGCTCCTTCTCCTGTGCTCTCAAGGCCCAGGACCAAGGACAGAGGGGTTACAGCAAGTTCCAGATTCTGTACTCTGGGCAGCATGGTTTCCAGGCTGGAGGGTGGCTGCCTACCCCTCCATGTCTTCCTCAGGTCCCTTCCACTCCGTCATCCTGGAGGATTTGACTCTGCAGATTAAGCTGATCTGAACCTTTGAAGACTTGACAGCAGCTTTCCATTTCGTTACTCAAAACATTTGGTGTTGAGCCAGGCATGGTGGTGTACACCTTTAATTCTAGCACTCTGGGCGGGTCTCTGTGAGATCCAGGTCAACCTGGTCTATGTAGCCAGTTCCAGGACAGCTAAGGCTACATGGATACCCTGTCAAAACAAAACAAAACAAAAACAGAACAACAAAAACAAAACAAAACAACAACAACAACAACAACAAACAATAAAAACACTTGATGCAAAAAAATCACATCATTCTTCCTTTAGAGTTATATTATTAGTTTTAAAGTATAACCTGTTTTGAGCTAGTGTGATAGCACATGCTTTAATCCTAGCACTTGAGAGGCAGAGGCAGGCAGGTCTTTGTGAGTTCAAGGCCAGCCTGGTCTACATAGTGAGTTTGGGCTAACCAGGGCTACATAGTGATACCCTGTCTCAAGAAACCAAAGAAAAGTATAACCTATTTTGTCTTCTTAAGAATTAAACTTTTAGGCTGGGCGTGGTGGTGCACACCTTTATTCCTAGCACTCTGGAGGCAAAGGCAAGTGGATCACTCAGTTTGAGGCTAGCTTGGTCTACATAGGGAGTAGTTCCAGGCTAATTGGAGCTACAGGGAGACCCTGTCTCAAAAAATTAAACTTTTTTCCCTAAAATAAAATGGTAAGTCCAATTTTCCTTTTTTTACTTTTTTTAAAAGCAGAGTTGGGTTTTTTTTTTTTTTTTTTTGTCTTTTTGAGACAGGGTCTCCCTGTAGCCTGAGCTGTCCTGGAACTCACTATGTAGACCAGGCTGGCCTTGAACTCACAGAGATCCGCCTGCCTCTGCCTCCCAAGTGCTGGGACTACAGGCTTGCACCACCACACCCGGCCAGAGTTGGGTTTTTATTAGATATATTCAAGGCTTATGCACGAGAATCAAGAGAGAGATGCTGAGAACACGAGACGCCGAAGAACATGGGTGTATTTTTTAAATTTATCTTTTACATTTATTTGTGTGTGTGTTGTGTAAGTCAGAAGACAACTTTTAGGATTTAGTTCTCTCCTATTATGTGTTTCTGTGAATTGAATTCAGGTTATCAGCAAGTACCCTCACCCACTGAACATCTTGCTGGCCTTACTTTGTGTGGTTTTTGTTTTTGTCTTTTTTTTCTTTCTTCCTCTTTCTGGACCTTTCCATCTGCACTTCTCCTGAAAAGGCCACATTGGAAGTTGAGTCCCTTCCCTGCCTATTCAAAGAGAGGTGAAGATTAAGGTTGATCTGAGCTTGAACTTCAGCAAGATAGACTCTAAAAAAGGGTGCTGTGATGACCCCACAGGACTCCAAAGACAGACCTTTCTTGCATTGTGCCCACCATGCAGTCCTTGCTCTCTGTCCTTAACAAGAAGCATTGTGCTCTAATGTTTCTGGTATGTTGATCCTGGAGGCCTAATGGTGCCTCTGATGGAGAATAGTAACTGTGGAATTCTGACATTTTCACTAGAAGAATTTACACTGTTTGGGGATGGGAGCCAAGACTCAACTCACCTAATTTTTTGGTACAAAGGACAACAAGACAGCTACGGTTGCACATTGATTTGATCTTAGTGTTCCCCCAAAGAACAGATTATTGCCCACTGCCCCACAGTGCCATCAACCATCCAACCACGACTCTACAGAAAAACAAAACAGACTTGTCAATCCCCCCCCACATCCTGGGGAAAGCTGAGCTCCCAACTCTATGGCAAGAGGACTGTTTGTTCTATGCACAGTATGCTTCTAATTCTGTGACATTCTGAAAATGTCAGGCAAACTACAGTGTGAGGACAAAGTTCAGTGGCTGTGAAGGACTCAGAGGAAGAAGAGCATACAAGGGTTTTTTTTCAATTATGAACCTAAAAATTTACAGCCATTTTTGAAAGAGCTGTATTCTTGCTCTGGAATGTGTTATTGAATATGTTAAAGCTGTAATGAAATGCTTCTTCTAATCATGTGGTTATTAAATGTAAAATTCTTTTTAATTAATTTTTTTATTTATATAAGTATCTTGGCTGCATATAAATATACCTGTATTGTGAAATGCCTGTGGAGGCCAGAAGAGGGCATTGGAGCCCCTTAACTGGAGTTACCGACAGATGTTAGCCACCATGTGGGTCCCAGGAACCGAACCTGGGTCCTCTGCAAAAGCAGCCAGTACTCTGAACTGCTGAGCCTTCTCTCCAGCTCCAGGGCACAAGGTTTTTAAGCTGAACCTGCTCTGAATGATGCCACCATGGTGGGTACCTGCCATTATGCATTTCCTAAAAGCCATAGAATGTACATCTCCCAAAGTGGACCTCATTGTAAACTATGGACCTTGTATTGGTATAAATGTTCTGTCACAAATCTGTCTCCGAGCATGGGTGGTGCTAGTGGAGAAGGCTGTGCATATATATAGGCCAGAGGACTATGTGGGGGCTCTCAGTATTTCAGTCCAATTTTCCTCTCAACTCAAGATTCCTCTTAAGAAAAATGCTTTTTTTAAAACACAAAAACATTGAAATAGGGGTTGGGACTAAGCTCAGTTCGCAGGCTGCTTGCATAGATAGCATGGGGCTCTAGGTTTGATTCCAGCACCACATAAACTGGGTGTGGTGGCAAATGCCTACGATCATAGCAGGAGCATGAGAAGTTCAAAGTCATCCTTGGCTGAGTCTGAGACCACATCCCGTTTAAAAAAAAATTAAAATAAGATGCAATCAGAGGGTGTTTGTTCTCGTGTTTGGATGGGTTTATTAGCAGTAGTGTCTAAGATGGTGTTCGGGGTGACCATGCAGCATGGAAGGACGCCCCATATTGGTGGTTGAGCTTCTCCAAACACAGAAGCAAGTGAGGCTGGAATTAGGAATCCTCACTGGACTCAAGGGACGCACCTTTATATTTGGTCTGGCAACAACAACATTAGAGTGTAGGTTGGGGCTTTTAAAGGATGTTCAAGAACCCTCTTTGCTGAAAGTCTGAACTAGCTGATAAAGAAGGGAAAGGATTACGTAATGGAGGATGATGGTAAATATCTCCTTCATGACAGTTAAAGCTGCTGTTGGAGAGTATAGCTTATGTCTGTAGGCCCTGGGCCTCCTAACTAGAGAACTGCAGAATAAGGACTTAACACATATAGGCACCACAACATTAGGAATCATGGTTTCTGGGTATGAGAACAGAGCCTTTCCGCGAAGCTCACTGCAAAGCAGAGTAGTGGGGAACACACGCTCTCTGACTGGCCAGCTTTCAAGAGCAAGAGGACAGGGCCGTGCATGCCCAATTGCTCTTCCAAAATTGGCAATCAGGTAAGTCATCCACTTCCCCCAAGGACCGAGTAACTGACTGGTGGAGGGAAGTCAGTATTGCACCAACATAGGTCCCTCCACACGAGAATTCATAAATGGGGTGGGGAGAATCCATTCCCCTCCCAAACAAATGCAGACGGTTTGAATGCAGTAGCATGAGGTCTCCTGCAGGAACCCAGAGGCTAAACACATCCCTCTCTTTGTTTCAGATACATTCAGCGTTACTTAGAAGAATTTCTGGTGTCTGCTAATAAGTACTTCATGGTTGGCCACCAAGTCATATTTTACATCATGATGGACAATATATCCATGATGCCTTCTGTACAACTGGATCCTCTGCGTTCCTTCCAAGTATTTGAGATCAAATCTGAGAAGAGGTGGCAGGACATCAGCATGATGCGCATGAAGACCATCGAGGAGCACATCCTGGCCCACATCCAGCATGAGGTTGACTTCCTTTTCTGTATGGATGTCGACCAGATCTTCCAAGACGATTTTGGTGTGGAAACTCTGGGCCAGTCAGTGGCTCAGATACAGGCTTGGTGGTACCAGGTAGACCCTAATGAGTTTACCTATGAGAGACGGGAACTGTCAGCAGCGTATATTCCGTTTGGACAGGGGGATTTTTATTATCACGCAGCCGTTTTTGGAGGAACACCTATTCATGTTCTTAACCTCACCAGAGAGTGCTTTAAGGGGATCCTACAGGACAAGAAAAACGACATAGAAGCCACGTGGCATGATGAGAGCCACCTGAACAAATATTTCCTTCTCAACAAACCCACTAAAGTCTTATCTCCAGAGTATTGCTGGGATTATCAAATAGGCCTGCCTATGTATATTAAAAGTGTTAAGATAGCTTGGCAGACAAAAGAGTATAATTTGGTTAGAAATAATGTCTGACTTCAAGTTTTGCCAGTAAATTCCTGAAGTTGAGGGAATATTCTGCTAATTCAGAAAAGTAACACTTTAACTTAAAATAACAAAAACAGCAACAGTAAATTCGACAAACACATCCTATTTCTCCTGGTAACTCTGAGCCTTTCAAAATATGAGAACAAGTCTGTGGTAATCAGATGTAAATTCCCAGTGATTTCTTATATATTCTGGGTTTGGGGGAATACTATATTAGTTGAATAAAAATAATTTTGCCATAGGCCAAGAAAAAAGCCAGAACATTCTACCCAGTATGTCAGACAGCATCCAGGAAAACGGGGTGCTAAGAGAAATGTTTGGCAAAATATAGCTGGGTGGGGTGCTGCCCAAGATCTTGATTGCCTTGACTTCCTGGTTGTGATGGTTCTAACTTGGAGTTGTTTTGCAGCAAAAAGAACTTCAGCAAGGAAACCACTTCCTTCCTCGTGATGGCTTCAGGGCATTTTCTGTCTACGCCCCTTGAGGGTGTTTGGCTTCTTTGCCAAATGAAGGTGGGGATTCCCAATGGATAATCCTGGTGGTGCATGTTTAGTCCCAGTGAGTCTTAACAAGCCAGTGGGTGCTCCGATTGAAGTGGAGACAAAGACTCAATGTTGAGTTTGCCATGAAATAGGGCAGGAAGGGCAGAAACAGGGGCTGACACTGTGAGGCTGTGCTGCTCTCTTGAAGGGTGCAGGACATGGTGCTTGAATTACATCACTGATACAGGCAGGAATGGGAGGCAGTGTGGGTGGTCTCCAGCCTCCTTCACCCTGTGACTTACAGAGCAGGAACTTGACTGGAAGGTGCTTCTTGTTTTACCCTAGTCATATTCAGTCAACCAGCCTTGTGTGTTCAGTGACGTGGGAGGGGAGTGGATTGGAGAAGAAAGAGGCCAGCAATGGACTGGAGAGGCCTCCAGGACCTGAGCTTCATCTGAAGACCATCTGTCATCATCCGGTCCCACCACTGGCTCGGAACCTCGGGATCCCTCAGCCCATCATGTTGCAACGTGGAGGCCTGACATGAAGGAGTGAAGTGAAGAGAAAACCCTTCGGCCTAGAGACCTCGTTTTCCCTCCTCCATCTGCACCATGCCAGGGCGGCAGCCAGGAGTGTTGGACAGCACGGCTACCCAGCTAGAACAAAGGAGGATGCAACGGAAGACGTGGTCGCCATGGCTGAGCGACTGGACATTCAGTTCCCTTCTCTGAGAGAAGCAGTGACATCCTACATGTGAGAACTTAATAGTCAATGCAAAGGGAGTTTTCCGTCTGCATTTACACGTGTGCATATATTTATATTTTGCTCGTCTCCCTGTGTAGATCATCTACGGTTTTCAAGCAGCTTCTTTGAAGAACCGCTGCATTGTCTTAGTGTGTAGCCCAAAGACTCCTTTGATAAAAAGAAACTTCAATTTTGTCTACATTCCTCTGCCTCCTACTCTTTAATCGTTGATTGCAGCAAACGAACAAAAGCACGTATTCAACAAGAACAACACCCCTCACCCTCACTTAGTGGGCATTGCGGAAGAAAACGGAGGCTACACCTGGCTGAGAAGCTTGCATCTCTGTTAATTGTGTGTTGGATCCCATTTTTAGCAGGGAGAGTTTGATGGTTTTAAGTCCTGAACCAAAAAAAAAAACCAGTCTCTCCCAAAAGTGTAGAAACCAAAGCTGAAGGAATTTTGAGGGAATTTCTTGATTTTTAAAAATTCATCTAAGTTTAACTCTTTAGTGAGCAAATTTATGGTATTACTAATGGTAATTATAATATTTTTTAAATAAAATTTCTGATTTACAATTGAATAAATTATTTTCACATTATATTCTGTCTAGTCATGGATTATGCATTTTCCCCCAAAGATGTTCGGAATTGTCAGTTATAATTGTCCTATAGGATTCTATAGAATTGGGCTGCAGGGATGGCTCAGTAGTTAAGAGCACTAGCTGCTCTTGCAGAGGATCCATGTTTCATTTCTAGCACCCACATGATGGCTAACAACTGTCCATAACTCTAGTTCCAGGGATATGACACTCTCTTCTGACCTCTACAGGCATTGTACAACACGGGTGTACTTCCATACATGTAGGCAATACACTCATACACATTAAAAGAAAGTAATGCTTTTTAAAAAATAATTCTTTAGAATTTTAGGATCTTATTCTCAGAAAAGCCCTCATGCCCTTCTAAAAATGAATCTTCTTTTATGAAGACAGAACTGCAAAAAATATGCTTGACATTCACTCCCAATCTTAAAAAAATTAAATTTATTATATTGTGTATGTATACACAAGGTGGGGGTGGGTGCAAACCACAACCTGCATGTGAAGTCAGAAGACAACTTCCAGGAGTGGTTCTCTCCTACCTTTCCATGGGTTCCAAGGATTGTACTCTGGTACCCAGGCTTATACAGCAGCATCCCCATCTGTTGAGTCATCTTACTAGCCCATCTCTCCCAAAACTTTGAAACCAGGAGACACTTATATTGAACCTTGTAAAGTGATGCACTGAAATAATTAACAGCTACAGGAAAAACACTGAGGAAGAGGCTTCTCTAGAAGCCAAGGTGGGCGGTAAGGCAGAGGGAGAAGGCTGTTTAATGCCATAACCTAGTGGTTATTTCGTCTGATCTCAGTAATATATCTGGCCAAGGGGAGGAAGGCTGCCTTTTTCCAGCATGTCTGGGTAGGTGTGTTTATCATATAAAAGTTGTCACAAGGGTTCTTGGGTGAGTGAGAGGGGGGAATATGGGTTATTTGAAATCAAATTACATTGTAAACATGTATGAAGCTGTCAAAGAATAAATTTAATAATTCAAAAAAAATATTGAAGGTAACCAGGCTTAAACTAGGAGTAGTGGCTCTATAATCCTAGCACCGAGAGGCTAAGGCAGGAGGATTACTGTGAGTTTGAGGCCAGCCTGGGCTATAGAGTAAGCTCTCCCTACCCCCAAATAAAACAAAAATAAAGGTAACCAGGCTAGGCTAACTCAGTGAGATACACTGAATATAAAACAGGGCATGATTATTGGGGAACCCTGCTGTTAAGGTCAAGTCCTTTCTCAGCAGGGGCTTCCTACCTGCCTTATCTGGAAAGTGCCGCCAAGCATGGATGCCTGGCCTTATTTGGAACATGACTTTTGGCATAGTTACTGGCAATAAAACTGCCCCCAGGTTTTTCCTATATGATAATTAGGCATTGCCCTAAAGCCAGATGATAGGATCACCTACTGTATGTAAATAAAGCATACTATGAACACCTATCAGCTGAAGCTTTGGCTGCTGCCTCCACACTATATTTTTCCCTGACCCCCACTGAATAAATGGAGCTGTTTCACTGAATCTGACTCCCCCGAAGGTTTTTTCCATCCATGCTCACTGGCTGTCCTGACCCCGTTTGTAGCTTCTGCTCCCTTTGTTCTCATGGGTTGGTGGCCAACGGCCCACGAGGGGAGGGAGAGACCAACACATGATCATTGTGGAAAACTAGTCCCCATTTAGAAAGGGGAAAAGGGGCGCTGGAGAGGTGGCTCAGCGGTTAAGAACACTGGCTATTCTTGCAGAAGACCCAGGTTCAAATCCCAGCACCCACATGGCAGATAACAACTGTCTGTAACTCCAGTTCTGTAACTCCAGTTCTGTAACTCCAGTTCTGTAACTCCAGTTCCAGGGGATCCTACAGCCTCTTCTGTCCTCCATGGGCATTGCACGACACAGGTGTACTCACCTACATGCAGGCAATACATGCATATACATAAAATTAAAAAAAATAATAAATTAAAAAAATATTTAGGGGAAAAAGGAATTCTGAAAACTAAGCCACCCAATGTATAACTGGCCAAGTTGACGCTTGAATCAAGTTGATGCTTGAATCAATCAAGTTGACGCTTGAATCATGTTCCAATATGCCCAGCACGTCTCCGGGGAAACATAAAGGATCTTTAAAAGAAGAATTTTTGCCATAAAAATTTTATTATTTATTGATTTTGGTATTTTTTGAGACAGGGTCTCCCTGTAGCCTCAGCTAGCCTAGAACTCACTATGTAGAGCAGGCTGGCCTTGGACACACAGAGATCTGCCTGCCTCTGCCTCCTGAGTGCTGGGACTAAAAGCGTGCATCATCATGCCTGCCAGGCCATAGGAATATTTTTATAGTGGACATCTCAGCTGGATGTGGTGGTGCATGCCTTTACTGCCAGCACCCGAGTGAGGGGGGCAAAGGCAGGTGGATCACTGTGAGTTCAAGTCCAGCCTGGTCTACACAGCAAGCTCCAGGCCAGCCAGGACCATATAATGAGACTGTGTCTCAAAATAAAACAAAAGCAAAAACTGAGTATCTTCCTAGGCCTGTACTGTCTCCAATTTTTAATCCATAAACCTCCTTCAAACGGAATAAGTTTAAATACGTCCTGTAAGAAAAATGAAAGACAGGGTTGTCTTTCTGATGGAACACCATAGGGCTCATGAGGTGCTGCACAATGGACCAGCCTTAGAAGTCCTGATTGGCAAGGGGTAGGTGGGCAGCACCGCCTTGCCTCTTGCCCCTCCACCTTGAACCTGGGACCCACAGGCAGCTGGAAGGGGCCTGAGGACTTATCGCTCTTCTTGAGACGATACATCTTTGATCTCTCCTAGTTGGTCACCTACATGTGAGACCCTCAGCTCTGGCAATGCTTTGAGTATTTCTTAGACTGTTTAGTGAGCTCTGTATGATGAGTAATGAGCATATTCACAAGCACAGAAAATCATGAATGAAGAACAATTCACATACCTTTTGATGGGAACGAGTGGGTTTTCCTTAGTCAAAGGCTTAGTTCTGTGAGCACAAAGCTAGGATTTGTCAACCTGAGAAACAGCTCACAACTCAAAGGCAGTAAAAGTTTATTCTAGCCAAATTATGTGACTGTAGCCCAGGAAAGTGGATTCAGGTTGCCCTGAAGTCTCCTATGGAAGTAGTTATAGACCTTTTATTACAGAACAAAGTCATAAAGAAGGCATTTACCAAACGCATCAGTGGAGACTGTATGTCCCTTGGTTATAGCTGAGTGGGGAAAACCCTACTATAGTTTTCAGATTCTGTCTGGAGGCATTCTTAGCTTTTGGACTGGTGGAAGCTAGTGGTCTGCTAAGGATATATTTCAAAGGTTTTTTACCTGTGAGTTAAACGGTTGTTAGGTCAGACACAGGAGTAGGAAATAAATGATTGTCAAGGGGACTAAAAATAGCCCAAGATCATTTAGTTCTGGATCTATACCATTCTAACTCTCCGGTTTTGCTTATTTGAAAAGTTTTTGATGGGGATGGAGAGATGGCTCAGCAGTTAACAACCTCGACTGCTCTTGCAGAGGACTGGTGTTGGTTTCCTAGCACCTATATTACATGGCAGCTAACAATGTCTGTAAATCCAGTTCGAGGGGATCCGACGTCCTCTTCTGACATCCTCATGCATTGCATGACATTGGCACACCTACCTACATGCAGACAATATACTCGTACACATAAAATAAAAATAAATCTAAAAAAAATTTTTTTATGTGTGTATTTTGCCACCCGTGGAGGCCAGAAGAAGGTGTAAGATCCCCTGGAACTGGAGCTAAAGATGGTTGTTAGCTGCCATGTAGGTGCTGGAAATGAACTCTCTACAAGAGCTTACTTATATACACTTACATGCATGCAGGCAAAACACTCCTACACATAAATTTAAGAAACATTTTTTAATATTATTATTTTTATTTTATGTATATGTGTGTATTGCCTACATGTAGGTAAGTGTGCCCATGTCGTGCAATGCCCATGGAAGACAGAAGAGGCTGTCGGATCCCCTGGAACTGGAGTTACGGACACTTGTTAGTTAGCTGCCAATGTGGGTGCTGGGATTTGAACCTGGGTCTTCTGCAAGAACAGTCAGTGTTCTTAACTGCTGAGCCATCTCTCCAGCT